GGAGGAGGAGGAGGAGCATGAGGAAGAACGCGTGCGGGGCACTTGTTTGCATCAGCAAGCGTACGGATGGAAGGCTTGGTGGTCAAGATGCCAGCGCTTCGGAAACACGCGCCGGCCTGGGTAGGGTCAGCATTTGCTCTCCTCTTTTCGCGACGGGTAACTGCCAAGCAATGTTTTTCAGGACCGCTCGCGTCGAAAATCGGATGGTGGCCCAGCCCGAAGACAATCATTTGGCATCTTGGCCTTAGATGGGTTACACTCATGCGGTACTTGTAGCAGGGTCCATGGTGAAAAAGTCCGTCCGAAAGCCTGGGCTGGGCCCATGAGGCATTGTTTCCGCACCGCGTGCAGCAGCGAGCCCAGATTTCAGTTGGGCTAGTTGAAGGGAAGATAAATTTCAGTACCAAGTGCAAGCAGAACAAGTGTTCGGCAGCGGGTGAGCAATGCTATGGCACTCCAAGATGGCAATCCCGTCACCTGAGAAGCTTGATGAGAAAGTGTGCTGCACTCAGCTGCATTCAAACCTGTTGTGCTAGATTTGCACGGCTGGGGCTTGTCAGGCTTGCGCACCTTGCCAAGCCAGCGGCTCAGACATACTAAGACCAGGATTCCAGAGTGCAAGTCTGTCCACAAGCTGGTCAGGCAGACAGGCTGGTCAGTCCTGGACGTAGAAGAGGCCAGGCTCTGCATCACTCGGTACTGTAAGCCTTCAGGCAATGAACGTTCACGAGCCCAGGTGTGGGATGTCTTCTGCGAATACGCTGTGGGCGGCCGCATTGGGGCCAGCATCCTAACAGCCTATCCCAAGAGTTGCTGATGCATCGCGCTGTGAGCGTGTTCTTGTTCGGCATCATGGAAGGATACGAAGCCCTGTTTCTTGTTGCTTTCCAAGCTTTGCTGAGCTTCGCTTTGAGCTGACTGTTCAATGCTTTGCTTGTGGTGCTCCGTTGAATTTAGAAAAGCCCTGGAGCCTGGAAATATTGATTGAATCCACAAGGCTTCGCCTTCAGGCATGCATAACATGTGCACTGCGACCAATCCCCAACGGTCAATGGTCTTGCAAGAGTTGCAATGAAGTGACACTTGCGGCAGCTTTGATGATTGCTTGTGCCATAGCAGCTCCAAATGTATGCGCTAGCCGAGAATAAGTACTGCGGAGTGCAGATGCGCCTCTCATCCGAGTTTGCTTATCAGATCAGAGAGCCTTGAGCCAGCTGCCAGAAGAAGGGAGCTTGAATAAAGTAATACAAAGATAAGGGTTTCGCACGCCGGCTCCTGGCCTTACTTTACAAAATCAGGCTGCAAGCCCTGGATGCCAACAATTGTTGAACAACTTTTAGTCAATTTTAATGAAATATGCATTGGCTATTCTTGAGCTGGGATTTTTGCTCTGGCTGTTCTCCACGTTGTTGCCCACCGCAGCACCCATGACTGCCCGCATGCACCTTTCAACGATGGACTTGCTCAGCGTGCTCAGGTGCAAGGCCCGGAGTTCATTTCTTTGGTGCAGGACGCTGCAATGCTGTCTTGAGCCATCACAAGACGGCATTCGCTTCAGTCCGAAGGATCTGTATGACGGCGTCACGGATGATGAGGCAGTCAAATAACAAGCATGGGATGTTGGCTTCGCGACATAGAGCAGACTAACTTTGTTGTAGGTCATGCTGCTGCAGCAGCACATCAACGCTGTACGCAAGCGGAACCATGCTCGCAGCGGCTACATGCGGAGGGCCTGACAGGCGTTCAGCTTAGAAACAAGATTCATGATCTTTGCTTCAACAAGTTGCTCTCCGTGGCAAACCGTGTTGCCTCTGGAACATTTTCTGAATTGAAATGGCACGTTTGCACAAAGGTTTGGACAGCGCGCCAGAGAGATCGGACGTTCGCTTCATCGAGTGTCTATGTTGCAGCTAGTTAGACCTGTCCTTCCTACTCCTGCATTATATTGGGCCTTCCAGAGATGATAGTGCCAGCGAAGACTCCAAATGGTGTCCCACAACAGCACGAAGCAGATTGGCAGAGCTGCGCTTGTACCCTCACTATGGGGATCCGTTCACCTTGCGCACCTGTTCTGGAAGGAGGAGCCACTCAAACACACAAGCTGCTTTGCTGTTAGTGGAGTCCTGCTGTCCATGTTGAATGGCTCCCCCATTTATTCAATGGATTGGCAACTGACTGATGTTGTGAAACTGCTTTAGCTGCCAGCTAGCGGATTTTTCCGCATGAAATCATCCAGCAGCTGTGGTTGCTTGTCTGTTTGCGAACTTCAGGTTCTACGTTGCCTTGGTGAAGTGGCTCGACCTCCAGAATCTAGTCAGCACTGGAGCCGAGCAAGTGGTTTCCTTAACAAATCGGCAAGAGCCAATTTGAGGGCCGAATTTGGGCCTACCTACCCTTTCCAGGGTTCTGGTCTGTTTTCAGAGTCGTTTCAAATGTGCAGATCTGGCTTTTGGGCATGGCCTTTTTCAGCTGTCAGGGCTACTGCAGTTCTGGTTCCGAAGCACGCCAAGTAGATATGGCTAAATGGGCTTGTGGGATGTGTCGTCTATGAAGCCGTTTTCTGTATTTCATATCGTTGTATGGCATGGCCTTCATCCAGCGCGAGGGTGACAGCTGAGGCAAAGCAGAGTTGAAGCCAGCGCTGAACGCCGGGAGACCTTTGTCGCAGGGAGCACAGCTGACGATGCCCAGGATGGGTCCGCTCAGTTGTTTTCCGTCCGACAGAGGACCGTGCCAAGCAGCGCTGTTCGCTGGTACTTCCGACTGTTTTGTCTTTTTGCGCTCCTACCTGTGTAGCGTAGATGAGTAAAGCACAAGGACATTCCTACAAGCGATGAATCTGTTTGGCCAGTCTCGCTTCGCTGACGGCAGTTCGATGCCTCAGGTCGGGTCTTACTGCATCACAGCGCGTCATGTACATCTGCTCTGCCCAGCCAAGAGCAGGTCATTCATGTCAAGAAAGCTGACCGTGAAAATGAAAGCAGCGTGCAGATGATGCAGATGTTGCAAAGTGCCTGGGCAACCGGGAGGCGAAGACTGACGCAGAAACTCCTTCAGGCAGTGGACTCTATGGATGGTGCCCTTTCTGGGGTGGCTCCTGCCAAGAATCTCCTTTCCTGCGGTTAAACTTCCGGCATCACTAGGCTGCACTGCAGTCCCACTTCCCGAACCGATGGATCCAGACATGCTAGGCTTGATGAACCTGGATGACTTCCGACGTCTCAAGAAGGAAGCCCCTTGGCAGTGTATACATAAATCGGTTCCCACCCCGATCAGTGGCCACGCCAACAGAAAATGCCAAGAAGGCGTCTATGAACATCATTAAACGTAGCAGACATGTTGGATTCTAAGTTCGAAGCCTGTGACTTGCCTCAGGTCACAGAGTCCCTGACAGGCTCGACTTACATATCAAGCGGCAAGTGGCTCTAGACTTGCCCCAGTGAGATTTTCTACAGTTAGACTGCACAGTTTTGCCTGCTGCGATTCTGATTCAGCTGAGCCGTGCGGAGAGGTCCGCCGAACAGCCCGCGAGGCTCCTTGTAAATTGTATGAGCCATCCGGTGACAGTCGCACGGCTGGAGCCACCCTGCAGCAGGTGTGGGGCAGAAGGTGCTTGAGCACAGGAAGCGTGAAAAACAACATCCTCATCAGCCTGGGGAGGTTCCTTGGCAGGTTCGCTTCGTACAACTTGTTCAGTGAAAGTCTGCTGCTTTCACGAGGGCGAGTCATTGACGCAGCTAGCGGATATTGGAGCATGTATCGTGGTTGAATAAGAAGTCTTGAGATTGTCCCCAATTGCCACCTCCTTTCTGATGCGACCAAAACAGTCTCCAGAAGCG